CGCAAATAGCAGGCGCCTGCAACGGCGGCAACGCCAGCGGCTCGGCGCGGAGATCCGGCGCCGCAGCGTGGCGGTATTCGTTGCTATTTGGGGTGCGGCGCGGCAGGGAGGACGCCGCCTGGAAGGCGCCCTTCGCGGGTGGCGGCGCTGGAGGTGCCTCTGCTGCAAGCACTCGTTGGGCAGGCGCCCGGTCGTTCGAGGTGTGTGCTCTGATGGAAAATCATGGTCGAGAATAATGTCCGCTCCACTGGCGGGACGCGATCACACCCGGCCGCCCCCAATCATACAGTGTTACTCCTTCTCGCAACATCGCGTCCGAACAGTTCCAAGTTACCCAGAAGGCCAGGACATGCACCAATGCTCCGATTGAGAATATCATATAGTTGTTCGCGTAATCCTCTCAGAAAGCCATGCAGTTTGATGACCTCGTGTGCGCATTTTGACAATGGCGTTTATGAGAATAGGCGGGCGCCCAAGAAGCATGCGTCCAGGCTTACATCGGGAACATGCTGACGTGTGTCCAAGGGCTCGGTCTCGAAATGCAGAAACAATGATGTTGCTGAAAGTTGATGGTGCCTTCCGCGCGCGCGAGCCTGCACATATGGACCACATAGCAACAGGTTTAATGTTTCAAAATATGAGTCTAACAATGTCCACCAAATGATACTTAGTACCAGGCATCGCGCCCGAGCCGGATCACCGCATGGAGTTATTTCTTATGCAGAACGGATGCAAGTGCGATTGAACAGATGAGGGTAAATCTGAAAGTTTAGCACAGTTTAGAACCAGATGAGGATACATCTGGTAGGACAACCGCAGAGCGTACCTGCAAGACAGAATTATAATCATGATCGAGTGGAGTGGAGTCGAGTTGTTTCGAGTAGGATAGAACATAATCGAAAACAGTCTAGTAGAGCCGAGTAGCGGTGAGCCTAGTAGAGCAGCGTAGTCGAATGGAGACAATTCGAATAGACTAGAGTTGAGTACAGTCGGGGTAGAGTCGAGTAGAGTAGAGAGGAACAGAAAATAGCTTAGACTCGAGAAGAACGGGTTAGAGCCGACTACGCGCATCAACGTTACCATCTTAGCTACCGGAATGCGCCGAATGTGGCGCAACGCATCAATTTGAAGCCAACGCTGGCCCACTGACTTCGTGCACGATAAGCGACCTGAGCGCGCACTGAAGCAACAACCATGCTTTGCATCGTAGCAGGTGCCTGGCCACATCCCCCCCTCCTCCTCCTCCTCCTCCTCCTTCTCCTCCTCCTCCTCCTTCGCGGCCCTCCTGCTTTTTATCAAATCGTCGATGGTGCCACGTCCTGGGCATGTGATTATAGCGGTGCATCCTCATTGCACATGCTTTACCGGCTGGAAAGACCAACATAACTATCCCCAACAATAAATTCCCTACCTAGGCTCTGCCTAGAAGGGTTCTTACTCTCTAGCTTAAAGGGGCGGGGCAGTGGCAAGCGCCCCGGGCGGTTCCCCCAGTCCCCGCCCCGCGGTTCCCCCAGTTGCGCCCCCTAGCTTTAGCTTTAGCATTAGCTTTAGCATTAGCTTTAGCTTGAGCTTTAGCTTGAGCTTTAGCTTTAGCTTAGCTTTAGCTTAGCTGCAGCTTAGCTTTAACTTAGCTCTAGCTGAATCTGAGCTTAGCTGTAGCTTAGCTGTAGCTTAACTTTAGCTTAGCTTTAGCTTAGCTTCAGCTTAGCTTTAGCTTAGCTTTAGCTTAGCTGTAGCTTAGCCTTAGCTTAGCCTTAGCTTAGCCATAGCTTAGCTTTAGCTTAGCTGTAGCTTAGATTTATCTTAGCTTTAACTTTGATGTAGCTTAGTTTGAGCTTCAGCTTTAGCTTCAACTTAGCTTTAGTTTAGTTTTAGCTTAACTTTAGCTTAGCTTTAGCTTAGCTTTAGCTTATCTTTAGCTTAGCTTCAGCTTAGCTTTAGCTTAGCTTTAGCTTAGCTGTAGCTCAGCTTTAGCTTAGCTTTAGCTGAGCTTTAGCTCAGCTTTACCGTTACTGCTCATGTGTTGTTCCCCTCTAGGGGCTCCAACTCCTAGGTAGGGCTGCACTGGGATAATTAATTACCCCAGTGCGACCCTACCTAGAAGTTGGAGCCCCTAGGAAAGCAGCATTAGTTGCTATACTGTGCTATGCCATGCTATGCTGCGCTATGCTATGCTATGCGATGCTATGCTGCGCTATAGTATACTATGGCATGCCATGTCATGCTAAGCTATGAGATGTCATGCTGCGCTGCACTATGCTAAGCTATGGTATGCTGCGCTATGCTATGCTATGCTTTGCTATGCTAAGCTGCGCTATGCTATGCTATGATATGGTGTGATATGTTATGCTGCGCTATGCTATGCTATGCCATGGTATGATTGGTTATGGTATGGTATGCTATGCTATGCTAAGGCAGCGCTGCGCTATGCTACGCTAAGCTAAGCCAAGCTAAGCTAAGCTAAGCTAACCCTCTAGGCAGAGCCTAGGTAGGGAATTACACCCATGCGAATGCTATGATATGCTGTGCTGCGCTATGCTATGCTACGTTATGCTCTGCTATGCTGTGCTCTGCTATGCTAAAGCTCAGCGAAGCTAAGATGAAGGTAAGATAAGCTAATCTAAACCTGAGCTAATATGAAACTAAGCTAAGGTAAGATGAAATAAGCTAAGCTGAGATGAGATAAGCAATGCTAAGCTAAGGGAACGTCACCGGGGGAACCGCGGGGCGGATCCTGGGGGAACCGCCCGGGGCGAGGACCACTGCCCGGCCCGTTAAGCAAACCGAGTAAGAACCCTTCTAGGCTCTGCCTAGGTAGGGAATGAAGTGCGCGCGTATACGTGATGTTGCCTTTTGTTTAGCACGCTCTCCGAGCTCCAGCTGCACATCATTTATAATTGGATGCCAGCTGGCTCATCTCCCAGAGTCCAGAAGTGACCAACGGCTCTCTCGGACAAAGTGCATGCGCGTGCTCGCAAGGGAGTAGCATCTGCATGAGCACTCGTCGCAACAAGATTGCCCGATTCGATTCTCGGGCGTGCCTGGCATGCACTCGTCGGTTTCTTCGCGGTGTAGGGGGGGATCTGAGGGTATCTGGCGAACGCAGGTGCAAAACCAGGGCCCAAGGCCCGGGCTGCCACGGTCCAGTGACTCGACCTGGCTGCCTCAGGTCAGAGTGAGAGGATCACAGAGCAGAAAGAGGCAATGGAAGAGAGACACGAGCAGAACAAAAGGGCAGAACATTTGGGTGTCTGATAAAGGTTGGGCAACACATTACTTGCAGACCCCGCCCCCGAAGACCGCGTCAACCTCATGGCGCCTGCAACCAGCAACGCTCCAAACATGCCCAGTTCCGAGATGGCCGACCCGTCCCCCTCCGTCATGCAGTAAAACCAATTGCGCAAGTCACTGTACGACGGCTTGCGCTCCAAGTACAGGCACCGATGGTTGACGAGAAGCAAAGGCGTCGTCGTCGTCGTCACCGTCGTCTTCGCCGTCACCGCTCCCCCTTTTCCCTGCGTCCTCCTCCGTAAGCGCGCCAGTCAAAGCAGAACAGCCAAACCGAAATTGAAAAACATCGTGCATGAGTCGAAGGAAAGCCCCTTCCCTAGGATCCCTTCCCCGCCGGTGGGGCCGGGGTCCCGGGAGAGGGGTTCGGGGAGGGGGGGGGGTCCCAGGAGGGGTAAGGCTGGGGTCCTGGGGGGGAGTCCCTGGTCAGAATACCACTCGCCCGGGGGATCCCAGGGCCCAAGAGGCCCCCCAGAGGCCCCCACGCGGCCCCCAGGCGCCCCCAAGGAACCGCCAGGAAGCACCAGGAGGATTCCAGAAGGCTCCCCAAACACCCCCAAAACTTCGGGGGGGTTCTTGGGCACCTCTTGGGCGCCTCGTATGGCCTCTTGGGCACCTTTGGGAGCGTCTGATCCCTACCTTCCCGAATGCCTCTGCCATCGTGGAGGTCGTCGTCTAGGGTCGGCGGCACCAGCTGTAAGGCCTTAGCAATAAACGTCCAGCATCATCAGGCCACTTGTAAGGACTCGCGGGCTCCCAGCCAAGTTGGAGGAGCATCGCCATCAGGGCATCGATCGGGCCCTTAACTCTACACTGCAGCAGGCCCACGCCTTAGGTCAGAATGGTGTTGTGAACCCTAACCTGAGCACAACTATGGCACATCCTCGATGACGTTACACGCTGCTAATGGCGGCAATCCGGCGCCTCATCTTCGAAAAGGTTGGTGGGGGCAGCTCCATGCCCCGCCAAGCCCCATGAAGCCTTGGGCTTATAACCTGTGCGGGTTTAACATTTGGCCGTGCGGTTGGCGGAGCCCGTCGGCCCACCTCGCCCAGGGCAACTGGTGAGCCATCTCCCACGGGCGCTTGGACGGACGGTCTCCCTTGCAGCCCTTGCACGTGCACTTGCGCCGATGCAGCAGGCCGAGCAGCATTGCAGCCCTTGCACGTGCCACAGGCCGAGCAGCATTGTAAATGCGCTCGGGAGCCAGAGCCAGCACACCAGAAATGCCAGACATAATTGCAGCACTCGGAGGGAGTGCGTTCTGCCGTGGACCACTGTGTCCGCTGGTGGACATTGCACGTTGAGCCAAAACGGATACGGGTATGGGTGAGGAGGCTGTACATAAGCGGGGCCATATGGATGGGACACCTCCTGTGGGTAGGGCCTTTTGGGTGGGACCCTATGGGTTCTTCTCTGGATAGGACCTGGATGGGTGGGGCCTCTGGGTGGAATCCCATGGGTGGGACCCTATGGGTGGGACCCTAAGGGTGGGGCATGACGGCTATTGGTGGGACCGAATGGGCGGCATCCTATGGGACTGAAACCGGATGTCGCTCAAAGCCTGCCCCACGAGACTTGCTCTTATCGGAACCAGAGAACCTTCTCAATCCAAGCGTTCGGTTCTGTGGAAGAGCCATCCGTCAAATTGAAGAAGCGAATCCAAGTAGAGCGACCTCGTCTGTGAGAAACAGCAGAGGTGGCCGGAGCACCATGCGCAGCCACCGCCGCACAAGCCCACTAAGTCTGCCAGCAGCACGAGGCCAGCCCTGGTCATTGGCCACAGGGTGTGCTAGGACAGATCGGATGCGCCGTGTCGTCGCCATGCACATCCTCTGTCGCACTTTCAAATCATCAGAACCTGTAGATGCGCTCTAACACCACGTATGCCAAACGCGTAGGAACGCTGACCGACATGACTATGGATTGGTGCGCCCGCGTCAGGCAAGTACATGCTCAAAAATGGGAGCATTCACTGCAGACACAACAAGTGGGAACTCTACTTGTATGATTCGCTGGCCCGATGGGCCACGGGCGTGCTCGATCCCACTGATTCAAGTAGAGACAAGGAAGCATTTGTACTAATCATTTGTACTCAATCCGCGTGCGAGGGCGACCCAGGAGGGTCTGCTGACCCCACAGGGCCCCAAGAGCGAGCGAAAGCCTCCAACAGCGGGCAGGCAAACGCTCGCCCAAAGCGGCACAGGCCAAAGCGTGGCAGGCCACATGCTGGCCCCGAGATGGCTCCGAGATGGTGCCGAGGTGGCCCCAAGAACATGCAAGACAGCCGAATGGGCTGCACAGACGACCAACGATGGCCCAATAACCTGTCCCCCAATGCTCCCAAGAGGGCCTTCCTCCACCGTGCCTTGTGCACGTTGGGGCGTGGTAGAATGCCCCTCGGAGCCTCTGCTGTCTGGTAAAATCTCTTGAATGCTTCCCAGGGCCTGTCCCGTCCCCTCGTCGCGACTGGGCTCAGAAAATCCTCCTCCCTCTGCAGAACCGATGCCCGGCCGTTCCAAAAACACACAACTGTTTGGAAAGGCTCTGGCCGAGGAGATCGCTGGCCGAAGAAAGCCAGCACATGCAAAAACAACGAGAGCACACCGAAACACCATAAACAGAAACAACTAATCAGAAACACCCAAGACAGCCCACACCGAAAAAATGCACGCCCAAACATAGCCAAGATCACCTCAAGACGGCCAGCAGGCCTCCAATGCGGTCCCAAGACTGCTCAATAAGGCCTCCAGACGCTCCCAGATGGCCAAGAGGGCAACACAATATTCCCAAGAGGACCCTACTACCCCCCTAGAGGGCTGCAAGAGGGCTTCAAGAGAACCGAAAGAAGGCTCAAGAGCGGGCGACAGCTCCCCGAGAGCGCGGATCAAAGCGTGTCAGGCCCCATGCTAGCCCAAAGACGGCCCCTAGATGACACCAATATGCTGCCACATGTTGCCTCAAGACGGCCCAAGCTAGCTTCAAGGTGGTAAAGACAGCCCCCAGAAGGCCAAAATCATTCAGACATAGATCTTGGGATGAAGACTGTGATTTTCTCGGCAGGTTGCTTCCGACGAGCTTTGGAGCCTCACGGTGGCGGGCCTCAAGCGGGCCCCGAAGAGCCCGAAGAGCGCCCCAGGAGCGCCCCAAGAGGGCCCAAGAGGGGCCAAGAGGGGCCCCAGAGCGGGAACCTGTGGGGGGCCCCACAGTGGCACCGAATCAGCCCGACAGGCCCCAAGGCAGTCCCAAGGCGGCCCAAGACGGTCTAAGACAGCCCCCAAGAGGCCCCCCAAAGGCCCAAACAAGGCCCGAGCTCGCCCCAACAGGCCTCGAGATAATCCCAAGGTGGGCCAAACTGCTGCAAGACCCCACCACGAGGCCTCAGAGGCCCCAAGAAGCGCCGGAGAAGACCTTAGAACCCCAAGAGACTTCCAGGAGTCTGCCTACATGCTCCGACAGCGTGCGAAGCGGCTCAGCACAACAAGCATCTCGTGCCTTCGGTCTTAGATGGTAGAACTTTGGCGGGGGCAGCTTGGTGGAACTGCATGTTCCCAAACAACTTCCCAATCACCACGCGCACACAAGCATATGACAACGGTAATACTAGATTGGCCGCCGGAAGGCGCGAAGCGGTTGAATAAAGTAGAGGCTGCCCCTGAAATGTACTGCTATCATATATTTTAACAAGTTATGCCACAAACGGCACACATGGTGCTCCTGACAATGAATCCCCCTTTCACTTTCTCTATGTCTCTCGTTTTTCTTCTCTCTCTCTCTCTCTGGCTCTCTGCTTCTCTATTACGCGCCTGCTCCATGAACCCACTCAGGCTCCTTACTCATGTATGCGTGATGCTACCCACTATAACGTGTCATTACCTGCGCCCTCCCGCACACCGAATCCAAAACTTGACCATGCATTCGTACACTCCGCTTCCTCCTAAACGTATGGCGCGACAACACAATCAAGCAACAAGCAACACGCAATCCGCAAGCAACAAGCATATTGACGTAATTGACAGCATGGCGGATCCTGAGGGGGAAGGTTTTGTCTGTCATTTGACGACGTCGCTTGTTGCGCGAACTTCGCTTTTTGCTTCCACCTTCCTGTTCACCACCAGTAGAGGCCTGTCCCTCTGCCCAGACCAAGTGTCTGCGCTTGCAAGGCACGCTGGCGATGCGTGATCGAGATGATGATAGAAGGCTCGCCGACGGCACATGGCAAATCCCCTTGCCCGACACATCGAGAGTCCTGACCCTTGATGCGCGAGCGGTCGGTATTACTACGTGCGGATATAGATGGTTGACCTTGTGAACTCACGGTGCCAATCCGGGGAGTGATGCCAGCGCATGGATCCCAAATCGTGCAGGAGGGCCGGCAAAGCAGCTGAGGCTGGGGGCCCGAGGGGCGGACCCTGTGGGCAACCGTCGCAACAACCAGCACTCCAAAGACAACGAAGGCCAGGGCGCGGGACCTGAAGGCCTCCACTGGCCAGAACGTCGCGACCACGCTATGGGCGGAGCCCGCGAACAGGACCCGTTGTGGCAGGACCATGCGAGCGGTGACCTGTTGCGAGACCTTTTGGCCAATAACGGCTAATACCGAGCGACCACCCAGTGGGACCCTACCGGCGGGATCCTTGGGCCCATGGGCGGGACCCCATGGGCGGCCCCCTGGGGCCAAGAACGGCAAGACTCCCGCAACCACACTCTGGGCGGGACCCCATGGTCCACCACGACAAGCCCTGAGACCACCCTGATGGGCGGGACACCCTTTGGGCGGGACACCCTTTAGGCGGGACGCTAATGGCGCCACAATATGGTGCGGGGCTCCAGTGCCAAAAACGACCGGACCCCGCCCCGCGTACATACCCACGCCAGCTCTGTCCAGACAGAGAGAGAGAGAGCGAGAGAGAGAGAGAGAGCGAACCGTACTGTTGGTTGCGATAGCAGTGTCTCTCTTGAGCCCTTGAGAGAGCACAAGGTGCATGCGCTCAAATGTGGCTCTGCCCCTAAGCCTACAAAGGAAGATCGCTGGCACATCCACGGGAAACTTGAAAAGCAAGACTCGCACCTACACACGTGGCATTCTGGACGGGCACGAAAGTGAAACACAGTTACATCTAGCGCTCTGCATTGCCACTTGAAGTCGCTTCGGTCCAGACTCGCAGTGCCTCATGCAGAGCACAAGAGGTCAAGCAGCATAGGTGCGGTAATGCACCTGCGCGCAGACAGCGTTTCCGTCGGTGTCGAGCCACCGAAGGCCTCATCGGGGGCGACTAGGGTATACCTGGCTGTTGGACAACAAGTGTCAGTGATATTCTCGGCGTCGGCAATAGATACCGTGGAATGAATCTGGCGTCAGCAGCTTTGAATGTTGATGCCTAGACAAAAAGAACACCGGACATGCTGCAGACGAACAGGTTGGGGACAAAACAAGTGGCCCTGGAAGTTGGAACAGGGAGTTGCCAACCATTCGTTTCCATTATACTAGTATTCCTGGGCGCGACTGCATATTGGCGCTCCTGGCGCACCTGCTACCATCAATGCAGCTTGCGGTGCTGTTTGTGGTCTCGTGACCAAAATGGGGGGAAGCCTGGCAAATCGGACGCCTGCCCCTTCAATATTTTGGAAATTCAAGCCAAATTAACGTAGCACCTGTCGGACAGGGAAAGCAATCAACCAATCACCACACATCGCACATGGATGCGATTGTCTGTTGGCAAAGTATGTGGCTCCCAGTTGGCGGAATGCACTCCCCCTTCCCTGGAGTAGCTGCCATCACATGACTGCTCTGAGGCCTCCACATGTTTTTCTTACGACAGGGGTCCCGCGGGTAGTTTTTGTTTCAGCGCCATGGATACCGCTGCTAATCCTGGCGCACCTAATTCCTCTACCAGCCGCCCTGACGAGCCATGCGTCATGAATCGTCACAGAGAGGGTGGAAGAGCTGAAGAGGCCACGGCTAAATATATGAATTCAAGCGAACGCGTCAGACAAACAAACTACAATGTGTTGCAGGCCCAGAGAAGCAGGAGCACGGCTCGGATAACAGCGTACGACACATCCGAATCCCGCGGCTTCCCGCAACGTCCCAAAATAAATAATCCATGCGAAGTGTTCGTTTGTGTTCCACGTGGGCCCAGCTCCTGGTGCTGAAGCAGTTCACCCACTTTCCAGGGCCAGCTTGATGCTGGCAGGCCGAGGAAGGCGCCATCGCGGCGTGATGCGAGCTGCCCCGCTTTCCCAAGCGAGCACTCTTCTTGGCGGGGTGCTCGCCTCGCATGGGCAGGTCATGTGAGGCTCGGACCTGCAAGGAAGTGGCTGCCCCTTGCAGTCCGCCCCCAGCGATCGATACCAGGCCCGCCCATTCCAAACATATTCCTGGACCCCATGTTGCTAGAGAAAGTCGGGAGCATAATAACCGGGTGTAGTGGAAAGCGCCCCCGAAGCCCAGGCACACTCAACAACGTAGGGTAAGCGATGTGCACTCCTCTCTGTCTCTCGCTCTCGCTGCGCCCCCTCCTGAACTTCCCAGCTGAGACCCCTCTCACTGCTACACCCCTTCTGCTCATTGCAGACCCTGCGCGCCTCTTCCTCTGTCTTCTGTGGTCTGCCGCCACTGGGAGGTGCTCGAGCGCCCTGGCGAAGTCGGGTGCAAGCAAGAATTCGCCCGAAACACGAAGATCCGCCCCACTGCCGACCCACGTGCAGGCGCCAACGGGCTCGAGCCCTCGGCGGACCAAAAAGACAAGACACGGAATACACGGCCAAACCTCGGCCCGGCCACAATGCGAGCCCTGGCGAGGCCTACGGAGGGCTTGGAGGGCATCGGGGCCGCGGGAGGCCCGAGAAGGGCGGAGGCCACCAGAGCCACCTGAACAACAGCATGCTTCTCTGTGTATAAGCCGATTCGTGTCCTGAGGGCCTGACTGGCGAACTTGCCGCGGCCAACCCTCCGCTGCGTAAAAGGTACCAAAAGCACTGCTTCCGTGCAGGAAAGCATGTCGAGTCTCCCATGTCGTCTGCGGGCTGGACAACTGCAGGTCCGCTCCACAAGGAACGGGGTTGGAAGCAGGAGGGAGGGCACATGAAAGCAAAACTAGAGGGCAATGGATCGGGAGGGACGGCAAACGGAATGCCTGGGGGTCCCTCCCACGTGGGGAGGGCGGGACACTGTCATGCTGACACACATTTCTTTGGAGGGGGGGGGGGAGGCGGAGGGGGAGAGAGGCGGGAAGTGGGCGCCCAGAGCAAGTGAGACCCTCAAGGAATTGTTTGAAGACAGGCCCGAGAAGTAACGTACCACGCGGTCAACAATCTATCTGGCGCAACAACGGGAGAAACACACAAACAAGAAACCAATCTCGACCCCTCCTCCAATGTTTTACCCGCTACAAATCCAGGGATAAGATGCTGTGTCGGCCTTCCGCAACTCACCACTGCCGCCCTGGACGCGCAACGCTCTGAGTACCTTTAGGCTCGGGCATCAAAGCGCCCGGGTACCTTTGCGCACCATTGACCTATAAACGACCACCGGCACCTTGGGCGAACGGGCCAGTCTGGTTGATGCTCTTGCTAAATGCCCCAATTGCCAACCAAAGAGGCTCGCGGCCGCCCGGGCTGACAGGGCAGCTCGCTGGCATTCGTACCTAGGTGTGGGTTGTGACGCTGCTGGCTGAGACAGCTGCGAAGCAAGCCGACAGAGGCCGCAAACTGTCACGACCTGACTCGCGACGGTCTGGCATCAAATACCGAAACATTGAACTCATTCGCAATCCACTCAATGCCGCAGACGCTGCTGGCATGGAAGAAGTCATGTGCGTGCTTGCCCTGCACGCATGAGACTCAATCACATTTATGATTGATGTGCCAAGCGCTGATTGCACAAGCAAAAAACCCGGTGCACGTGGCCAAGAGCATGACCGAGCCAACACCAGATGGCTGCCTTCTTGTATGGTGTCGAATGGGAGCTCGGTTTCCACTTCTTGTACTTCCCTGTGCGTTTAGTGGAGAAGCCTTTTCCTTCAGCGTGACCAATAAGTGAAAAAGATAATGCCGCCGCGATGGCCTGCCGCCCAGACCCTCTCCGCGATCGCCATGCAAAACGAGTCGCTGTCCAAAAATGCGTGCTCACGAATGCCTACACTACCACTTCCCCGTTGAACAACACCCCGTCCCATGTCATGAATCAATCACAGCTCTCTCACAACATGAAAGGGATGCATCGTCCTACTACTTCTGCGACCCATCCCCCGCCCCCAAGATGATATGGGAATGGGGCTTGCAGCGTCCAGCAGGACCTTCCCACTTTACACTAACGTAGCACCCCGCAGTCGCGGATAAGAGTGAGGGAGCGGCGGGGACGTCTGCAGTCTGCGAGGCTCTGAAGAAGCCCGCCGCAGGCGCCTAATTTTTGCAAATTGTACAACGAAACCGCCGCAGGCGCCGATATTTCGTTAAAACAATGTGGGTGGGTCGCGGGGTGGGCCGCGGGTGGGTCGCGGGTGGGTCGCAGGTGGGTCGCGGGTGGGTCGCGGGTGGGTCACGGGTGGGTCGCGTGCCTGGTCGCGGGCTGGTCGCGGTCGGGTCGCGGGCGGGTCGCGGGTGGGTCGCGGGTGGGTCGCGAAATAGGTCGCGGGCAATTCGCGGGTGGGTCGCGGGGCGGGTCGCGGGATGGGTCGCGGGTGGGTCGCGGGCGGGGTCGCGGGTGGGTCGCAAGCGGGTCGCGGGGTGGGTCGCGGGGAAACGACGCCAAACAACAACATCAGCAAACAAACAAGCACACAAACAAACAAACAAACAAACAAACAAACACAACACAACACAACACAACACAACACAACACAACACAACACAACACAACACAACACAACACAACACAACACAACACAACACAACACAACACAACACAACACAACACAACACAACACAACACCCCAACAATCGTGTTACCCTCATGCGCGATATTTCCATACGAAGCATGCGACCATCATGATCACCATCCCCATCATGGGGGCGATTGTTCTATAGCGGGCCCCGTTATTCCCATTCCCAGATCTCCCGCCCAATGACGTCTTGCAAGCACCTCCTCCGAGGAATTTCAACATATCCCGCCTCGAAAACACAAGCCCGCGCTTTGCTGCGCCGATGCGAGACCGCCAGTGGAGCCCCAGCCAAGGGTAAAACACAAGGAAGTATCGAGCGACAGGATTGCTTTGGTGGGGATGGGGCCTGTCGGCAGCGAGGCAAGGACCTGGCCCTGAATAGAAATTGAGGAAGTCTCGAGCAGGACCGCTGTTGTTGCTGGGAGCGGCGCCAGTGCTGAAGAGAGCCAGGCGCTAGTCCAGCGTAAAACAAAACGAAGTCTCGAGCGGGAACGCTGGTTTTGTTGGGACGGCGGATGTCGGCGGCGAGGAGGGACACCGCCTTGAGTAAGAAGGGAGGAAGCCTCGAGCGGAAACCTCGAGCGGAAGCCGTGGTTTCGTCGGGACGGGGGCTGTCGGCGGCGAGGAACAGCACCGTCTTGAGGAAAGAAAGGGGAAGCCTTGAGAGCGTTGTTCTTGCTGGGAGCGGCGCCGATTCAAAAGACAGTCGGCCGCCAGTCCAAGGTAAAACGGGAGGAAGTCTCGAGCGGGAGCGCTGGTTTTGTTGGGGCGGCGGCTTTCGGCGGCGAGGAGCACCGGCCCTGAGTACAAAGGGGGGAAGTCTCGAGCGGGAGCGCTGCTGTTGCTGGGGGCGGCGCCGATGAGAGAAAGAGTAGCGCGCCAGTCCAAGGCAGAACGGGAGGAGGTCTCGAGCGGGAGCGCTGGTTTTGTTGGGGCCGCGGCTTTCGGCGGCGAGCAGTAGCATTTTTCGTTTAACCATCCAGCGAAGCCCTGTGGCAGAGGAAAGGGGCGAACAAGAGGGGGGGGGGGCGGGGGGGCGGGAAGGGGGGGTCCGGGCACGCGGCATGCGGCCCGGCTGCGTGCACAGAATTACTCTGGCGCCCTCGGAGCCTGGAGGGCGGCCCGCCACGCCGCCTCCGAGCCGCCCGCGTGCGACGCTGCCAGACGCGCTGCCCGCGGCGGCAGCGCGGGCGCCCACCCGGCACAGCGGCGGCTGGCCAGGAGCTCCCATGCGGGGGCCCAGCAGCCGCAGCGCATGCAGGCCACCCACCCTGGGCCCTGCGATGCGACGTGCGCCCGCCATGCGCCGACGGCGAAAAGCGCGCGGGCCGCCGCGGCAGGGCTCTGGCGCGGCGCTGACGGCAGCGCGCGCCTGGCCGCGGCCGCCGCCACTACCGCGTCGCCGCCCACGAGGGGCTCGCGAAGGCGCGGCCCTGGCGCGGCCCAGCGACGCCGCACGCGCGGCGGCGCTTGCCCGGTGCTGCCGTGGTTGGCCCATGAGCGCCGCCAACTCGACCTCGGCCAGCATGACCTGCAGCGTCCGGACGGCGTGCAGGATGACCCCACGAGCCTGCAAAAGGTCTGGCGGCGGCAGCCGCGCTGATGCCGCCGCCCCTGCCAGCTGGTCTGCGGCGGCGTTGCCCAGCTGGTCCCCGGCCGACACCCCGCGCGCGGCTGCGCCATCCTCGTCTAGGTGACCCTTGATCCACCGCGCCGTCAGCAGCCCGCAGCGGCAGTGGGGCGCGATGAGCTCCCACAGATCGGAGTGCGACCATTCCCGTGGGGAGGCGCCCTGCCGGAGTGCTGCGACACCGTTTCGGACGTACTGCGAGTCAGTGACGACCTCGAGCGGCTGCTGGGCGGCGTGGAGCGCCTGCGCCGCTGCCGCGAGCTCGGCTCGCTGCGCAGTCTGCGCCCCGTCGACCCCGCCGCTGTGGTCGGTCTGCGCGCCCGCGGCGCCCTCCAGGCGGAACCCGAACCCGGCGCGGGCTAGCAGCGGGTCAGTCGGGTGCTCGCACGGTCCGTCGGTCCATGCCCGGCTCCGCGCCGCGCCCTCGGCGGGCGGGAGCGGCGGGGGGAGCGCGGGACCGGGGCCGCTGGCGCTGGCGGCAGAGCGACGAGAGCAGCCAGGCGGGCGTCGAGCGGCAGCACGCTGGAGTTCGCGACCCCCGGCGGCAAACGAGCCCGCAGGCCAGCGGCTGAGAGGCCCCCTGCCACGAGCGCCGCGCGCCTCGGTTCTGCCCGCGCGGGCAATCCCAGAAGCGGTGCTGCCGGTCCTCGCACGCGGCGCCACAGTGCGGATAGCGCTGCGGCTTGCCCAACTTCGCGGCCACCGACTCCGTGACCACGTTGCCAGACAGCACCGCGCGCAGCGCGCCGGCGGCGTCCGGCGTCAGAGCGCCCTTCGTCTCCTCCAGCAGCAGCTGGGCGGCCCACCTGTCAACGCCCGCCTGCGCGTGCGCGAAGTCGGCGCGGCGGGCTGCCAGAGCGCGGGCTTCCCGGCGCGCCCAAACTTCGAGCAAGACGGCGCGGGTGTCTTGCAGCGGGCGCTGCTCTGGGCGCCAAGCTTCTGGCGCGGCGGGCACCCCCCTCCAGACCTCGACGCTGTCCCCGAGCTGAAGCTCCGCCATGTTGCGGGCCGCGGCGGGCATCGGGCCCACTCCGCGGCCGTGCCCGGCAGCCATTGCCCCGGCCGCCGCGCGCCACAAGGCAGCGGGGAACCGCTGGCGACGGAGAGCCTTCGCCGCCTGCCACGGCGGCGCGACGGCAACCACGGCGAGGGGGCCCAGCCGCCAGCCAGGCGCCAGCGTGCCGAAGACAATCTCCGCGGCCGCGCGGGACCCGCCCCTGCACACCGCCCGCCGGGCGGCAGTCCGGAGCGCGACGAGCTCGCGAGCGGGAGGCCGCCCGCAGGAGGCGCCGTGCAGCCCGGCCGCAGTGCCTGCGGCGGCGCCCGAGAGGCAGCGTTGGCCGAAGCGCAGCGGCAACAGCCCGACGCGCGCGAAGCGACCAAGCACCCCCTGCGCCCGGCTGGCGGTGACCCCGCAGCGGCGGCTGTCTCCGGCCACCGCCGCCGCCCCGAGGTCGCGGAAACCGGGCTGGGCACGGATGCTGGGCGTCTGCTCTGCGAGCCACTGCCGCGCCGCTCGGCCGTTGGCATGATGCCGGCTTTTGTCCCGATTCAACCGCCACCCCATCGCCGCCTCGAAGGCAGGCGCAACGCATCGCGTGCACTTTCGGCAGACTCGCCTCCGAGCTCGGCCGGCGTCCTGGCCCACAACATGAGATCGTCCACGTAGATGCGCCGACGGAGCGGCCAGTCGCTTGCCTCCAAGGCCACGTGAGCACTGCCAAGATGAACACAGCGAGGGGGCAGCCCGGGAGCAGGCCCCGGGTAGGGGCCCAGGGAGCCCCTATGGCCTTGCCGACCCGGCTGCGCCGACGCGCTCCGTAGGCCGCCAACGCGGGGCGGGCCAGCCAGGCAGGGGCGCCCGCGCGGGCCAGGAGGCCTGGGAGCGTCTGCAGGTCGACCTGGTCGTACGCTTTCCGCCAGTCGAGTGCGGCCCCGGCGACCTCCTCTGACGGCGCGTCGGCGGCCTCCAGCTCGAGGGCGAACTCCCAAGCCTGCTCTTCGGAGCCTCGCCGTCAGGGCTCGCCTTCCCAACAGCACCGCCACTTGGCAAAAATCCGAGCGCGGCGGGCAGCCCAGACGTGGTACAGGACTGGCAGCAGCCATATTGGCCGGCGCTCGAGCGGGCCCTAGCCCCCGCAAGGTTTCGGCAGCAGCAAGCCTTCCGCCTCCACCAGCTCCCGTGGCCAGCCACCCGCCGCCTCCACCGCCTCGAGCAGCTGGGAGATCCAGCCGCACAACTCCGCGGGCAGCAGCCTGAGCTAGGAGACCGTCCACGCGTCGAGACTTGTTTTTTTGCGCTTAGGCATCTTCTGCAACAGCCAGCTCACAAAATCCCCTGTCCAGGGGATCCTGTCTGGGAAGGGCGGCATCCCGTCCAGCTCCTGTTGCCAGACCTCTGGCACCGCTGCCGCGGCTGGCTGCTGCCAGAGGGCGCGCCAGGGGCCCTCGAAGTAGCGCAGCCGCGCGGCGGGGGCTCCTTGCACGGCGAGGGCCCAAGTCCTGTGTCCTAGGATTGGCGCTGGCGCCGCGGCAGCCCCAGCTGCAGGCGGT